TGGACGAACTATATTCCCTAGTTTCATTAGTTCAAAGCTTTTTTTTTACAAGACCCGCCATGCTATGTACACTCAGGGGCAAACCATTCTCCTTCCCTTCATATTCTATTGGTAAAAAAAATGTTACATTTCAGACAATGTCTTCCTAAGAACTGCTGTTTTTTTTTTGTGGAACAGTCCTGAGAGTATACTTTCTCGATCACTACACTTTAACCTATTCAAGTCTAGGGTCAACTGCTATCTATCCTCCTACATATCATCATAATCAAAAATTCATTCAACAGTTACAAAACAACCCCATTCTGTTGCTCTCTACCTTGACTGGCTTTTTGGGCCTAGTGCTGTGTGATAAATATAGTAGGAAAAGAAAGATATTTCCTGTTTCGTGCCATTCTTTTTATAATCCTTCTACTCATAATTAAATATCTAACGTTTTAAAGTGTTTTTGTCAAATCTCCAATGTTAGGTGCTTTCCGTGAACTTAACATAATTTATCTCTCTCTAGTCGTCGTTCGTCCTGGCCATGTGCCGAGGTTGGCCAACTTTGACAAATATCAACAAACGAAGTAACTACTGTAGTCATTTGACACTTCCTTATTTGACATTCACTTTAACTCAAAGTAACTAGGAAAAATATTTTAATTTAAAAAGAAAAACAAAAATTAAAACATCTAAACAGTTTTCCTAAAGGTTAAAAAAATAAAGTATTACAAGAAAAATTAAAAATAAAATACAAGTATTCATTTTTTTATTTTGAAATATATATTTTTCTTATTTATTTATTTATTTAAGGTAAAAGTCTTTGATGTTTGATTGTGGAAAATTACTTCCGTTTTCCATTTTATTTTTTTCCGTGCATTTTTTTTTAGTGCTCTCGAAGAAAAATCCATTTGGTAACAGTCAAAAATGGTTATGTTCAGTAATTGGTTATTTTGGCGCATTAGTGATTGAATAGATTTTTTTAAAAAATGTTATTTCCAACGAAATGAATTCATTGCAATTAATAATTTTTTTGGTGTCTGTGTAGTGACCTGTACCACCAAAATGATCCCTTTTTTTGTTTCTTCAGAAAAACAAGAAATCGTTACCCCGTTTTAAAATACTTGCTAATAAAAAAAATTATCTGATGCAAACGAAATTTTCAGTAATTATTCAATATTTATTAATGAATGAATTGTATACTGAATATTAATAGGTGTAGAAAACTTTGTGGAAATATTTGGTGGGGGTGTTTAAATCCCATTTCTTCCATATCCATATGTAAGGAGGAAGTTCTATTCATTCACGAGTTCTTTCCAAGAACTGTTATTTGAGAAAAATCCCTGAAGATATTATAATTTCAGTATATAAAAAAAACGCAATATCAAGTGTGAACGGGACCTGAATATACGGAATATTACATCCCGAACTTTACCAAAAGATAATTCAATAAACTCAAAAATAAACCTTTTTCTGACAATTGTTTAATAAATTTCATAAAAACTATAAATTTTTTAATTTTTTTTTAGATCGGATAAAAATTCTGGCAAGCGTTATTTAAAAAAATTTTCTTGTAGTTTTTTAAACATAGGGTTGTCCCCTCGTAACGATAAAAAATGCATATAACCTGGAGAAAAAAATCCCCAAATTGATAAAAAAAAAAATTTTAACGTGAAAAAGATTGTTTTAATTAAAGAGGGAAGACCAAGGTATTTTTTAATTATTTTTAAATTTTTTTTTTTTTTTTTATTATTTTTAAATTTAGTTTTTAATTTGTTTTTTTTTTTTTTTTTAGGTCAAAATTAGGTAATATTAGCAATAGTTTTTTTTTTCACTATTTTCAGTTGGAAAATACACATTGATTTGGAAAATCTTGCAAAAATCAAGTACTTGTTGGATTTTTATGAAACTTTCAGAACTTATTCACAAATGAATGAAATTATTTTAGAAATGTTTGTCTTTTTTGAAAGTCATGGTATAAATATTTTTTTTTTTATATATGTTACCATCCCCTGAACTTAATTTTATGAAAACTTCAAAAATTTTTTTTTGTATCCAGATTTTTTTTTTTTAATTAAATGCATAAGACTCTGAAGATTCTAAATCATCGATTTTTTTTTTGTAAAAACATGTGTAGAATTGTCCAAACTTTTACCTCAATTGTAAAATACAAAAAAAACCCAATAAAACTAAGACAATATTTAATTTAAAAAGCTTTTTTAATGACTTTTCTGAATAACATATTCTAAGGTAATTTTATCTGAAAAAAAAAAAAAAAATTTTGAAGAAAAATGAATTTTTACAATAATTTTTTTTTTTTTTCATTTTAAAAATAAAAATGATAAGTCACAAAATTTTAAATATTTTTTAAAATTAAGTTTCTTTATGAAACCTTATGGAAATGACATATTTTGTTCTCTACTTTTTGAAGATCATAAATTTGAAAGCTTATTAAAATCTGACAACCAGTGATATTTTTAAAATAATTTTTTAATATTCCAAAATTGTATTTAAAATCGTCTCCAACGAAAGTATGGATGCACAGCTTTGAAATAATGTCACACGAGGTAGACTTGTTTCTCTTGATAGAAGCAAGTTATTTTTACTTCAGAAATTTTTCCTCAAATGTAAGGTTAAAAAGATTTGAAAGTGAATTTTTTTAAAATTTACTAACCAGGTTCACTTAAAATTAGAACGAATTACATCACTTCTGCGCTACCGTACGATAAATTCCCTTGACATAAGTTGTCAATATATTGACAGCCATCAATTAACACCCTTCAATCACACACTCGCGCGAGTACCACGGTTGGAAATATCTCTATTAAAAAATTTTCTGCTAAAAAAGTAAGTAATGTTTTTTTCAAATTATATTAAGTGTACTTTAATCATTCTAAATTTCTTAAGATAACAAAAAAAAAAGGTGTAACTGATTTTTAAAAAAATTTAATTGATTTTTTAAGTTTGATTTTTTTGTTTACAAACTCGGGCAGAAATGTCCGATAAATCGAATTTACTATTTTTTTTTTTTTTTTATTCAAGAAAAACGAATTTTTTTAAAAAATTTAAAAAATTTAGAGGAAGGATTAAAAAATCTGAAAAAATATTCAAAAAATACTTTGGTCTTCTCTCTTTAATTTTAACATAAACATTTACACGTTAAAATTTTTTTTATCCATTTGGGGACCTTTTTTCTCCAGGGTATACCACTTTTTTAGCGTTACCTGGGACAAGTTTGAAATTCACCCCGTCGCTGTTCGTGAGGTTTTTTTTTTTATTTAACATGTTTGAATAATAAAAAAAAATGTAAAGTTTAAATATCCATTTTCCAGTGTGAACATTAGCAGGTTAGTCAGTGTTTTTTGGGCATGTTAAAAAAGGAAATAATTCTGAATTACCGCCTTTAATTGTGAATAATATTCTTCCGATAAGGAAAATTAAATGATGATAATTCAATAACTCTTAAATTCTTCTTAATTTATGACATCAAACTAAAAAGAAAATAAAAGCAGTTTGTAAATAAACTGAGAAGTATCATTTAACTAAAAAAAAATGTATAAAAAAAATTCAAACTAAAAATCGTATAGGATAAAAAAATTATATTCTTCTTAAACTATTGATTATATAATTTATTTTTAAACATAAATAACAAATTATTGTTCCGTATTTCTTTAATGTTTTTTTCGTACGCTTTTTAAGAGTGATTTCAATAGAAAATTATAAGTGCTAGTTAACGAACCTATGACATCACAAGCTACCGTGCGTAAATAAAAGATTATTTTGATTGTTTTAAATCAAAAAGTAAGAAACGTTACGTTTACAAAATCCAGGTAATTCTTAAATTGTCTAAATAACTTCGAAACACACCTTTACGACAAATGTTGGATTTTTAAGAGATTTTTAAATTTGATGTTTTACCTTTTTCATCTTATGAATGATGAGTGAAAAAACGCTCCAATGTCTTTTTAAAATATCTAAAATTTACTTTGCAATAATACAGAAATTAATTTTTCTTTGATTACGGATTAGCTTTTTAATTTTAAGGTAAAACCAAATTTTAACTTCAAAGAAAGCATTTATTTTAAAATGTGTTTTTCGTTCGGTTATTATTTTTAATTTTTTTTATTTTTACTTGTAGGAAGTCCGCGTGGTTGTATCTATTTTATTAATTACAAGACAACATTATGACCACATTGGGGGTCCGGTAACATAATTACTTTCCGGAAAGTGGAGTTGTCCAGTAAAGTTCAAATTCCGGCCGAGACAGTTGTGTTCACTTTCACGCGAAAACTATTCCATGTTAAATAGCAGGGTAGACTGGACTCTTTAACTTTGGGTGGCAACCAGTGTAAGAAGGAAGACCGTGAGTAGGCCACGGGAAACTACTCCACTATCTTTTCCAATAAGTTACGGAAATTCACAGATAATAAAGAAAATAAAAGGTATCTGTCGAGAACTATAGATGCCTACGTCCTGAAGGGATTGAACTCATTATTTTAAATTTGGTATTAACAGGAAATAAAGCAAAATTATATACATTTTTATTTTTTTTAACTAATTTAAATTTTAAACTAAAGAGAAATATTTGTAAGTAGAAAACTAATTTTAACTAAGGAGAAAATACATTTGTAAATTTGAGTAGAAAACTAAATCATGCAGTAATCATTACCTAATTGATACTGAAGTGTAATGATTTGAAGAAAATAAAATTGAATGCGAAGTGATTTTTTTTACGGAAGTAGCCGAAGATACATATTGAAACATTAAAACTAAATCTAATTTAGATTATTTTATTTTAGATGATAAAAATATTTTAGTTGGGAATTTTCATTTTTTTTTTAATAATATGATTATTATAATCATTATTAATTTTTTTTTTTCAGAAAAAAAATTTGCCAAAACAAGCAGGCGGATTTTTTCGTCAATCAATTTTAATTTAAATTTCGATATTGCTGAAAATGTCTTTAAATTATATCCAGACTGATGATAAGATATATATTTCAGAAGATTCCTTTAAAAAAATGGTAAGTTTTATCCTTTTTTTTTTCTCTTTTGTAGTGCGAAAAACTTTAATTTTTTTTTCTTTTAGGTAAAAACTTCAATTGTACTTCGACGAAATTACAAAATTCACATTGGAATCGATAAAATCTGTAGCAAAATCGATTCTTTCTCACATTTAAACAGTCATAAGTCGTGTGATAAGGTGTCTTAAAAATAAAATGGTCCCAAGTTGTTTGTGTTTTTAGTTTAACTTATATCAGTTAAAAAATAATAATAGTCATACGAAAACAATGATGTTTTTCACATGCTGTGAATTTTATGATTTTGATTATTGTGAAATAGGTTTATTAACTGAAGATGAAGGCCACAAAAACTGACTGAAAAAAAGCAGTAAAAATAAAATCAATTTAAAAAAATAGCTAAGTTACTTGCCAAGCAAGCTTTTCCCTTTCGTTTTCGTAAAAGAATGAATCCTGGCAATAGTAACAATTAAGTTAATTAACAATAACACGCATTTTGAAAGTTTAAATTTTACAAAAAAAAAATATCTTAAACTTTAACAAGATGTATATTTTTTTATATAGCAAGATTTTATTTAGAAATAATGTTACGTAATTTTTCTTTAATTTAAAAAATTGTTTTGCACAATAAAGGTCTTTTGCTTTAGATGCCCACCAGAAAACAATTACTTTTCCCAAAGTACTTAACAAACTATATTTTTACTATTTTTCAAAGTTGTGGGGATTATTACCCCACCATGATTGCCTTAAATGTCGTTCTATTCAGGCCTATAAAAGGAACGGACATAACACTCACTTTCTCTTTTACTCCGGAATGCAGTTGCAAAAACAATACTTCTCTCCACACACCCATAACAAAAACCTATAAATCATAAATGTTATTCTTCCTTTTCCAGCTATCCGCTACACACAAGTATCTTTTTTTTCTTCTTGAATTGTTATTATACAAATACACATGTAAAATTCCTCCGCCTATTGAAACTTGTTTCTTTTGAAAATGTTGAATTTGTTTACCTTGAAAGTCTTCATCCTAATACACAAGCTTAAGCATAACCCCTGTTATGGTCCATTAAAAAAACTCTGTTGCACCTCTTCATTAGATAGTAAAAATTTTAATTTTATATATTATATATATATATATATATATATATATATATATATATATGAGAGAGAGAAAAGCAAGAGAGCTGTACTCAAAAGAAAAATACAAATTGATGTAAAACAAAAGTTAACAATTTTGAATTTGGATAATTCAAAACTTACACTGGGAGCTGACCACCTGCATGCAGATAGAAAATGAATTCAGTAAATATACAAAAATAGAAAGGGACATAAGACAAGAATGTGTCTTCTCACCAGACTTATTCAACCTTTACAGTGAAACAATCCTGAGGCAATTAGAAGTCCTACCAAGTTTCATTATTGGCACCCACAATTTTAACAACATAAGATATACAGATGACACATTGTTGATAGCAGGCAAGAGTTAACTGAGAGAACACTCGGATATGCAAATGGTGAAATGAATAGCAGCACGGAATGAGAAATCAGAGCTAAGTTTGAAATTTCAGTTCATTTTCTTACATTTACTTATGTGCTAATACTATTTGAAAAGGTATGAATCCATCTCTTCTCCCCTAGGTATGGGTTAAATAGTAGAACTTGTATCTGGAAAATTATTGTTATCCTCCAAAAATTCAATTAAAAAAAAAATCAAATAATTTTCTCAAGGAGTAGTGGTAGCAATAACAAGGTAGTTTACAAATAATATATTTTTTTTCTTAAGGTGAAATATTGTCACATCTATTCAGTCTATTTTTTTTTAGCTCTAGCTATTGTGATGTATTTCATATGGGACAATAAATTGTGTTTACTACCAATGACAAAGAAGAAATATGGCCGCTATTGAAGACACACTTTATATGTGCCTATCTTGTCCAAGACAAGACTATATTTGCACACATGCAAATTTTGGCCATCTTGGAAAGGCATAAAAAGCAGGGTGCCAGCAGCTTGAAACTGAGAAGTGTCATTTGGTGGACTGTGTGTGTTAGAGTTGGACATACGGATTGATAGACAAAGAGGAAGTTGAAGTAGATGTGGCTGAGTTGGTGTCTGTTTCACAACTGCCCAGGGTAATGGCTGAGAAAGGGAGTCACGCAATCCATTTCCTTGAGGCGACCGAAGAAGAAGAAAAAGAGCTGACCTTTCAGCAAGCGTCGCACTGCACTTTTTGACCCCCCACTCATCATCATCATTTATTTTTCTCTACAAGCTATTTTGGTAGTTATGGTGAAGGTTTGCATTAGCAGCGACGTTATAATGCCATTTTTCGGCCAGGGCGATGTGGTGGCGTGTCTAAAAAAGGTCAGGCTGGTGGCAAGACTTCAGTAGGTGGATGATGTGGCTAGCCTGCTGCCATTGTACCTGGAGGGGGACACACTAACCCTCTACATGGAAATGGAGGAGAAAGATCAGAGAGATGTTGATCAGATCGAAACCAGGCTGAAGGAGGCATTTATGGACAATGCGTTTTCAGCGTACAGAAAACCGACCATGGTCAGGTGGATTGGCGAACATGTGGACGTCTACGTGAACAAAATCAGGCAGCTTGTTGGATTGGCCTGGTTCAAGGGAGCTAAGATGGAAAGGTTCACCAAACTAGCCTTTGTCATGGGGTCCCCTGATACGATCTCAATAAAACTTTGACAGGCACTGAATGTTGAAGCTCTGACTGTGGAGGGATTATTAGCAAGAGCGAGAATGCTGACAACAACCAAGGATGAAAGCCAGGATGTAGTTGTGGCTGTGCGCCCACCCCACAGTGATGACGCATCTCCCACCAAGAGTGGCCCAATCACCAGGGTGACATGCTTCAGGTGCAGCAGCAAAGGCCACATAGCAAGAGACTGCTGGAAGCGCAGAACACACTGCTATCGATGCGGGGAGGTTGGACACTGGGCTTAAGACTGTTTGGGAAATGCTGCAGGGGACAAGGCATCAGCGCCAGCCTTTTCCCCAATCAAGATGTAAATACAGCGCTCCCGGTGGCAAACATCCTTGTCAACAGAACTTGGTGTTCAGCACTGATTGATACTGGCTGTTCACGGATGATTGTGGATGTAGATCACTACTGGTCTTGGAAGTGGGTGACGGTGGACTTTATGACTATTTGAGGCATGTCCTGTTCATGTTGCAGTGTAGGAGTGGTAACCGTATCCACGGAGGAAGGCAGTTCTGCCAAGATCAATGTGTTGGTGGTGTGTGGTAAACCACTGGGATTTGACCTGATATTGGGGATTTATGCCATAACAGCATTAGGAGGCGTTGCTGTTGGGCCAATGGGACAAGTACAGATTGGTAAAGGGCGAGCAGCTAAGTGTGCAGCCATTACTGTTGATGAACCCGACTTCATTGCCACCTTTGACCATCGGCGGCAATCCTCGACCGCGGCATGGATGAGGTCAGAGGACTGCGTGCCTGAAAGACTGCACAATGGGGTTTCTGAGTACCCAGTAGCAGCAGATATCAGGCAGGACTATAAGCAGGAGCTCTGCACGTGGATGAGCAATGGCTGGCTCGTACCATACCAAAAAAAAAACTGGGGCCTCCCAAAGGGCTAATTCCTCTGATTGCTGTACTACAGCAGAACAATTCCAAAGTACGTCCAGAGCTCAACCATCATGTTGATGCTTTCACAGCCAATGCAGACATCTGTGCAGCTAAACTGTGTGAATGGCAGCAGAAGGGACACAAGGTGTTTTTGTTGGATCTCAGGAGGGCGTACCTCCAAGTATGCGCCCATGAGTCACTCTGGCCATACCAGACCATGAAAATTGACGGGAAAAGATATTGCCTGACGCGTTTAGGATTCTGGTTGAAGGTGGCTCCCCTCATCATGAAGACAATCATTAGCACGGTACTGGCTCAGGAAGAAACATGGGTCGTGTAGCATCTGCTTACATCAACGACATCTATATCAAGAAGATGTCGTTCCCACGACCCCCGTTAAAGAACATCTGGCCCAGTTTGGGCTGGAATGCAAGGACCCAGTACGGTTGGAGGATGATGCACAGGTACTAGGATTGGCAGTCGCAATGGAACAAGGTAAATTGTGGTGGAGGCGAAGAAGCATGGTTCCATATGTCCCCGGTGTCGTTACACGACAGAAAGTATTCTCTCTGTGTGGAAGGCTTGTTGGGCACCTCTCAGTGTGTGGTTGGCTCCGTGTGGCCTGTGGAATGTTCAAGAGGAGAGCAAGTTCGGTTATGAAGGGCTGGGACGATGAAATGAAGAATACCCTCCTCCAGCGTATGGTGTCTGAGACCATGGATTCTGTACAGCGAGACGATCTGACCTGTGGGGGTTTGTGCATGGATGGCCGGAAGCTGAACATGTGGGTCGATGCCAGTTCCCTGGCGATTGGAGTGGCGTTAGAGAGCCACGAAACAGTGTTGGAGGATGCTTGCTTGCTGCGACCTAAAGACAACGCTTAACATTTCAACTTGGCCGAGCTGGATGCTGTGTTGAAAGGCGTCAATTTGGCACTCCAGTGGCAAAGCAAGATGCTACACATAAAAACAGATTCCGTTTACGTGTGCCACTGGGTATTAGACATGCAGACTAGGAATGGATATCACCCACTATGGTGCTCATTATTTCTTAATGCTGACTGTGGCCCATCGCGTTTTTCAATCTGAAAGCAATTGGCGAGACAGAACTTGGCGGCCATGATTTGCCAGCTGAAAGCAGTGTTCATCGAGTGAAGCCCATCCCATGAGCTCCTCATGGACAACGACCCAGCCTTTTGCAGCAGGGAATTCAGAGCTTTTGCATGCGAGTGGGGAGTCAACTTGTTCCATTGCGTATATGCCCCAGCCAGGAATGGGATAGCAGAGTGAGGTCACCGCACAGTAAAATGAATTGCAGCCAGGATGCACTGTTCTGGCCAGGAAGCCGTCTTCTGGTACAATGTCACACCAAAAGACAATACATCACCCCAG